AACCAAAAATTGGACTTAAATATAAAGCTAAAACGGATGCATGATCAAGACTAACACTGTTTTGTTCTAATGTAAAGAAATGAAATTAGGAAGAGTGGCATCTCGATACGTCTTAATTGTCTCACGCACTTGTTCTGCAGCCTCTTGGAGCGTCTCCACGATGTCAGCATCCACCTTCAAAAACAAAATGTTAACTTCTGAGCACAATAATAACCCGACTGATATACTTTATAAAATTCTGAGGCCAAGATTAACCAAAAAAATTCATCATCACCTTAAGGTACTGTTCCAAATACGCTCGCTTTCTTATAAGTTTTTCGTACTGGTTAATTGTGTCTTGAAATATGCTCGAAATATTCGTATGGTTGCAAAGCATAAGTCCCGATACCCGATTTGTTAAGGGTAAAAACGGTGACCTTCTGCACTGCGTAATATTTAGAGATCCCCAACCCCAAGGGGCAAATCTGCAACTAAATTCATGAGCACACCGATAACTTAGTCGTCGAATATAGAGGAAGAGTTTATTACTTCAGCTCCTTCCTCTCCTTTATCCTTCCTAAAGTTGAATAAATTTCAGAAGAATCGATGGTCCCTTGTAAAATAGCCAGAGCAGATAGTAGACAATGGTCAATATCTTTCTCCATCACTGCACTGCTCATCATATTTTTTGGTTGAAGCAGACGTCGCAACACGTTACCAACAGACGTAGTAGACGAGCACGGATTGCCTTCTCTTAATGGTGTAAAACCTAAAAAATCTTCCCGTTCAAAAATCCCACTCTTCAAAAACTGCAATCCGTTGAAATAAAGGAGTTTCAATCTTCCAATAATCAAAACTCCAACCTGTTTGGATGAACCTCATCGGAGGAAACGCAATGAGAGGACCAATAAGATTCAACAATCGAGTATTCATTGCTCCAGGAAAGCGAAGGGTAGCAGTTGAGGAACACATGATGCGGGATACCTGTAACTCCATTACCTACTTAACTACGCAATCAGTTTTTGCTAGTTACAGCCGTTTTTTGACATTACTTAAAGTTCTATGATCATCCAGTTCCTTACTAAAAATTTAACAAAAACGTAGAACAACTCACCACGTTACCGCCCACTCTAATATACTTTTCAATAAAAATTTCTAATAACCTAACTACATCTAAAAAATCGTGGCGAAAATAATACGAACATACATATGAGTTGACAAATGCGAAGGAAGAAACAT